CACGTATCTGGTGTCTATCCAAAGATCATTTATTTTCAGAAATTTTAGTAAATTTGTTCTCCCACATTAGTCAGCAAAACCAAAATAAAAATTTTCTGCCTTCAAAAACAAGTGTGTTTTTACACGTCAGAATTAGGGGTCACAAGAACTTCAGGAGAAAACAAACCGAAAACGAGGAGGGAAAAGCTGGATAGCAGGCTTGAAATGCCATAGGTCCGGAAGGCCTCTAGCAGGGCTCACTGCTACTCTAATTTGAAAATGTTTGGTTACACATGGATTCTATTTGTGGTACAAAGTGCTCTGGAAGACACAAACATGTATTAAACAAATAAACAGAAACGGGAGTATTTCCAGTTGCTCACGATATCCTTGAATTTATTTCTGGAAAAAAAAACTTGTTTAGTAGAAAAAAGTACATAAACCAAATATAGTTTAATATGTTAATATATCTGTTGACTAGCTTTTTTTTTTTTTAAGTTTGCTGTAGGGTGACTGTGCTTGCTGGAAAGGAGGGAGAGAGGGAGAGAGTGGAAAAGCACCCCTGGGGCTGGCAGGAGAGGCAGGGTCATGCTGCAATCCCTTCTCCTCCATCTCTCCTTTCAGAATTTTGGGTATGCACACACACGCACCTGGCATTTTTCAAGCTACCAGGTCTGGGACTCGAACAGTACAATCTGCCATGTGGGGTCTAGTCACCTTAACCACCATGCCACTGGCTAAGCCTTGACTTTTTTCTGTCTGTTATTTGAAAGGGAATTTTTCAGTGACATCAATCTGGGTATGAGGCATTATCCAAAGTCAGAACTGGGGTATGTGCGTTCCTGATAGAGGTACAAGGGAGCGTAGAAAAGTCTAGATAGAATCGATTTAATTGAAGGTTTGATTAAATTTTTTGTTTAAAAATAAACAGGGGGGGCAGGGGGAAATGACTATGTTAATTAGCTCGATGTAATTATTTCCCAATGGATACACATGTCGTGTTGCATACCATAGATATATATCATTTTTATTTGTTGATTAGAAAATAAATTTCAAAAGCAAGTTAAAATCAGTATCAGTAACTAAAAGATCCTGCTTTAAAATCATTAATATGGGGCCAGCAGGTAGTGTGGTGGTTAAGGCGCTGGACTCCCACATGGCTGATTGTGATTTTAGTGCCAGACTCAGCAGATCGAAAATCATGCTGGGCACGTGTGCATGCATGCCCAAAATCCCAAGAGGAGAATAGCAAACAAGGGATTGTGGCATGGCCATGCTGCCCCCCCCACCCCACCCAGGGGAGGTGATTTCTCACTTTCCCTTGCTCTGTATCACTCTGTCTCTCTCCTGTCCAGCGAGGACATGCGCCCTATGGCAAAAATCTAAAATAAATAAATAAATAATACTATCAGTGATAAATATTAGTTAAGTAACTATTGTTTGCAGAACATAGGACAGCACGTGTAGCAGGCTGAATTATACAAGTTACAGTGAATTAAGGGTACTTTCAGATACTGAAAAAATGAATACAATCTTAGTAACGTGTTTGTGATCAGGAATGAGCCCTGCTCCTGGAATAATGTTGATACTGAGCCACTTAAAGGTGAGGCTTCAGACCTTAATCTTCAAATGGCAGCAGTTTGGTAGGAAAAAGGGTCTTTACTTTTCTCCACATCCTTTAGAAGTACACAAGTGCAAGAATTCACCAAAAGATCTTCAATCATGCATGTGGCTGGATCCCACATGGCTAGCTGCACGGTTTGAGTCAACCTGGTAGCTTGAGAAACACACCTGGCTTTGTGTGTGTGTGTGTGTGTCCGAAACCCTGAATGGAGGGAAAATGGAGGACAAAGGATTGTTCCATGACCACACCCCTTGGGGGCGCTCTCTCACTTCCTCTTTCTGTCCCTCTCTGGCACCTGCATGTGCCTGCTGGCACACTTTTTTTTTTTTTTTTTTTTCTGAGAGTATTTTGCTATGGGGCATGTGCGCATCAGGAAGAGGGAGACAGAGAGATAGAAAGCGAGAAATCACCCCCCAGGGGAGACAACCACTCCATAATCCCTTCTCCATTCTCCTCTCGGGATCTTGGGCACGCACGCACATGCGTCCAGAGTGAGTTTAAGCCACCAGATCTGGGACTCAGACTGTGGTTGACTACTTTGGAGTCCAGAGACGTAGCCATTACGCCATCTGCTGGTCCTGCTGCTGGCACGAATTTAAAAAAAAAAAAAAAGAGAGGAAAAAAGAGAAAGCATATCTTGACAGTGTAACTAAATGAAATACATGGACTTTGATTGGATCATCATTGGAGGGTGGAAGGAAAAAGACATTTTGGGGACAATTGAGAAAATTGTTTCCATAGATGAGTTAATACTAAATATGGAATCACTATTAGTTTTTATGGTGTCTCATAATGTTACTGTGATTATGGGAAAAACAAACACACAAACTACTTAGGACCAGCCCCATGGCCTAGAGTTTAAGGGAGCTGAATTTCACTTAGCCAACCACCTGGTTCAAATGCCAGCCCATTGGCCTGAAAAACTATTGGCCATGTGTGCCCCAAATCCTGACAGGATGGAGAAATGGAGAAAAGAGATTGCAGTGTAACTATGCCCCATGTTTTCCTCTCTCCCTCTTTGTGTCTCTTTCACTGGTGAGCACACAAGAAAAAGATATACTTATGTTTAGGCAGTGAATTACCTAGGACGGAAGTCTCATATTGTCAACTGTTTTCAAATGGCTTAGTTAAAAATGTGTGGGGGTGGGTGGGTGGCACAGCAGTAATCTGCTGCTCAAGCAGTCTTGGATCCGTCTGGAAGATCCCGGGTTCCAAGGTTGACCCGCACATGCCCAGCTGCCGGTGCCCAGGGTGCCAGCCAGCTAGAAAGCCCAAGGGAGTGGGGCAGGATGGCAGCCTGAGACCTTGTTGAGGGTGCCTGTCTTCCTCGTTTTGTCTCTTATTCTTACAAAAGAAATAGATTTAAAAAACACAAAACTTAAAAACTGTGAACACACACACACACACACACACACACACGCACACGCACACGCACACAGAGCAACTGTGGCATAATATTAACAACTGATGAATCAATGTGAGGGGTCCATGGATAGTCGTTGTGACATGGAACATGGGTGCAGGGGTGATCAGGCCCGGCACCTGCAGTGTGGCACAAGTTCCTGTCCCTTGCTCAGGAAAATTTAGAGACGGGGACACACAGAGTGGGGATAGCAAAATGGGGAGTTTACTGAAAGAGAAGGAAGGAAAAACAGCACTCCCAAGAAGGGAGGGTTCTCAGAAAATGGTTGCCAAGGAAGAACTGAGGCAAGGGGGTTTTATTTGGCAGGAAGGGCATTTTCCGACTTGTTCTATGTGGAGCTTGTGCATGCGGGCTCCTCGAGCTCCTAGAGCTGGTGGGAGCACATGCTGGATACAAAGGTCAGGAGATTCTTTGTCCATAAGCTTTGGGCCATAAAATTCATTATCTTATCTTCTTCCTGGAATGTGGTAGGGCCTGGAAAAAGCCTTTGTTTCAGTCTAGATTGTACTGCCTAGGTCAGTCACCAAGTCACCTCTGCAAGCAGTATCTCCAGCCAGGCTGCTGTCTCCATCTTAAAACTTAGCCATTTTGTGATTCCATTTTTGGGCCTATACCTAACTACATCTTTAGGGTCTGTCTGCTACCCCAGTTGCACTGGCCTGTCAACATTTCTGTGAGCTTGACATTTTTCTAAATAAAATGTTGAGGGGAAAGGATGTCTACAAAAGCCCCCATGGAAATCCTTCGTGCGATTTTGGAATTAGGACTTTAAGAGCACGCAGAATCTTACACCCTCTTTTCCTTTGCTGACATGTGAGTGGTTTTATTTCATCAAGGTCGTGAGCAGGATCATACTACACTGAGTGTACAAATAAGCATCACAATCACTGAAGTGTGTACTCCAGCTGGCTTCAGGGTGCTCTCAGGAGGCTAGTGTTAACAGAAAACTCCACTTTCCTTGTTTGTTTACATTTTCATAACCAAGTATTATCTTAAAATCGCATTAGCTTTCTTTTTTAAAAAACATTCCCGTGCACATGCCCTCAAGCAAACAAAACAAAACAAAAACCTCACTTAGAAATAAAAGCCCTAGGGGCCGGCAGGTGGCGCAGTGGTTAAAGTGCTGGATTCCCACAGGCCAACTGCGATTGGAGCCCTGGACCGGGCGGCTTGCTTTCTCACTTTCCCTCTCCCTCTCTCTGGTCAAATTATTATTATTATTAATAAATATTTTTTAAAAAAATAAATAAAAGCCCTAAAAATTCTGAACGGCTTGGTTTCTCTTTGGTGACGTCTATAAGTGAGTCACGGAACCTGAATCTTCCTCCCGCTCCCGTCCGCCGTGGGCTGAACAGGATACCTGGTCCCACCCAAGTAGAGCTGTACCTACAAACAAGAACCACGCAAGACCGTTCAGAGTTAGCACTTTCAATAGCAGCAAGTGGCAGCCGAGAAAGTAAAATTCCTGGCCTCGGAACGCACCCACGAACGCCCAAGTCCCTGGCGGAAAGACTACGTGGAGGCGAGCAGCCGCAGGCACCGGGAGTTAACTTTATTTATTTATTTTAATTTAACCAGAGAGAGACAGAACAAGAGAGAGAAAGTGAAAAAGCAAGTTGCCAGGTCCAAGGACTCAAACTGTGGTCGGTCATGTGGGAGTCCAACACCCTTAACCACCACACCACCTGCCAGCCCCAGATAACAGACTTCTTAAAGGAGTTCAGATATGCACTGTTGGTGACATACCTACAGGTTGGGCTGTAAAGGAACTCTAGAGAGGCCCAGGATTGCCCACTTACTTTCTTTTTTTTCCAAGTAATGCGCCCAGGTTCGGCCCGGAGAGGCGCCAGCCCAGGGCTGTGTTCCCGGGGAGACCCGCGGGCCCCGGGCTGTGGCGCGCGTCCCGGGTCCCAGGCAGGCGGCTGGCACACGCGTGGCGCGCGTGCTCGGTCCCGGAACCAGGAGCTTCACGTGATGAGGCGCTGGTGCCCCCCTCCCGGCTGGGCCGGGCCGGGACGCGCTGGGGCGCAGGAGCGGGGCCTCCCTGCCTCTCCCTGCGGGGTTTCCGCCTCGGCTCCAGAGGACGATGGACCGGGAGGGGCTGCTGCCCTCAGGCTGGACGCCAGCGTGTCCCGGGCAGACCTGTGCGATCACTGCCCGGAAACCCACACTGCTGAAAACCAGAGGCCAGGCACGGCAGGAAGGAAGGGGTTTTCAAATCTTCCACGGGTCCAGACGAGATTACAGAAAACCCGCTGGCCTAGTTACAGTGGAGTGCGAGAGGACAACGTAATTGCAGGCAGTTTACGTCTCTGCTTAACTATATTAAGACGTTCTTAGGGGAGACATGTATTTGTGTCCAGAATTAACCGGGTTGCCCACTGGCGCATAAAATTCTTGCCCTTGAGAAACGCGAAGTTGACGGTTATCTTAAAGCACTAATTCGGGTAAATAAATTAATCCATTCCCATGACCCTGTCACTGAATGAAATGCTCCAGGACAAGAAGACAACGGGACACAGTCCGGCCCTCCCAGAGTCCAGATCCTTGTGCACACAGCAACCACAGTTAAACTGTCCTCACCAAATAGAGCAGTCTCTAACGATTTGCATGTGTATGTGGGGCCTTCACAAAAAATGCAATACTATGGAAAACTGTGGATTTAAAAAATGTTTGTACCAAAATAAACTCATGCTTTAACTTGTCTTCCATTAACTTTATGAAGATCCCCTCATATATTTTAAAGCAAAATCCATAGTTTTTAAGTGTTTTTCTAAAGCTTATTTATCGGCCCATTGCTGTGGCCTGTGCCTGTAATTCCAGTTACTCAGAAGGCTTAGGCTGGAGGACGGCCAGCCTGGGCAACACAGGGAGACCTTGTCTGTCTCTAGAAAAAGAAAAAGAAATGAATTTAAAGTTTATTTATCTATGTCTTCCATGAGAGAAAGCAGCAGCCCTTACAGGGTCTTCACACCACATTCCCCCCCAACCCTAGGTACAGGGAGGCCTTGGGATGTGAACCTGGGACCTTCTCCTGTGGCCCCAGCATCCCGGAACACTGTGTTTCTGCTGAGCCACCAGCTCTTGGTTTTTAAGGGTGAGATTCATGAGCTGACGATTTGTGAAAACAGTGACTAAGAGGAAAGTGGATTGAAATGACTTAGAAAAAAAACATGCAGTTAAGTGCTTCTGGTTGGTGCAAAGCTACCCTTTGATCTGTGGCTTTTAACTTGGGCTGAGTATAATCCTGGAAATCTGTCTCACCAAACAATTAGAGATGAATGTTTCTCCAACAGCTTCTAAATCACTTTAGATCTGAGCAAGCTGTCTGCTTTTGGTGTTTTGTAGATATGATTTCCAGCATTCAGTAAAGATAAAAACTACCGACAGGTCATAGGCCTAGACACCCCCGAGTTAAGAGTCAGACGCTATATATTAGCTCGGGCTCCCTGTGCAAGCAGTGAAACCACCCCGGCTCACTCTAGTGCCCCCAAACCATCCCTGACGCCTTGTGTCCAGCCTGCTATCTCTTCATCCTGTGTCCAGCTCTGCTCGCAGGCTTCCCGTGCATCGTAAGGCTCCACTCCCCTCCCGTCCTAGCGCGGTGCTCACCTCAGCTTGTTGCCCCTGTGCTGGGTGCTCTTCCGGTTTCTCACGTACTCCCAGTACCCTGTGCACACTCTGCTGTCAAGTCCTTCACGTCCTCTGACTTCCCCAATGAAAACGTAATCTCCTCGTACCCCTTATCTCAGGTACAACACCGTACACAACCGTCTTCGCCAAGAGCCTGGGATCGAGAGAGGGTTGGGGCTGTCTTCTACATAGCCGAGACCGGCAAGACTTACTGCCAGGACAGCGGCTTTAAACCTGGCTAGCTGAGTTTCTAGGCTTCAGCCCACACTGCTCAACCTCTCGTGGCAACTTTGGCAACAGCACAGCTAGTTTTCAAAGAGCATTGGGCATCAGTCTCCTCGAGGGCTGAGAAGCATTGTTTGTTTTGTTTTTATCCACTGGTCCTGGCTCATAAGTATTTGGCCTTTTTATTTATTTATTTATTTTTTTGAGAGGTTTTTGCTATAGGATGCGTGCACTCACCAGAAAGACAGAGACAGAAAGTGAGAAATCACCCCCCAGGGGGGATGGCCACGCCGCAATCCCTTCTCCTCCATTCTCCTCTCTGAATCTTGGGCATGCACACACATGCGCCCGGCATGAGTTTAAGACACCAGGTCGGGGACTCGAACTGCGGTTGACTACATGGGAGTCCAGCGACATAGCCATTATGCCAACTGCTGGTCCCAGTATTTGGCCTTTAAAATTCATATGTTTAGTCATGGTAGAGCATATGTGTGTGTACAAGAGAGAAGTCTGGTCATGCCCAGCCCCTCAGTTGACCCTCCGACTTGTTAGGCCAGGCACTCCCACAGGGCCCTCCGTGGTTCAGGCAGACCAGGCTGGGGGTCTGAACCGTGATCGCCATGTGGGATCAGGCTTTTCCCAGCCACGGAGCCAGCTGATTATTTGCCTTTTTTGTCCTTGGTTAGAAACTAATGCAGCACCAGAGGCCAAAAATCTGACAGGTCTCGCTGGGTTTCCCCACCTGGTCTGTGCGCACCTTATGCCCGTCAGTGAAGTCCCCATAAAGCCCCAGAAGGACAGGGTTTGGCGCGCTTTCCAGCAGCAGAACACGCTGGGGGTTGTCACAACCACAGAGGGCGTGGGAACTCCGCGCCCCCTCCCACATGCCCTGCCCTGTATATCTCCTCATCTGCACCCTTCAGAATCTCCTTTACACTAAATCGGTAACCACGAGAAAGTAGCAGTGTTTCCCCGAGTTCTGTGAGCCGCCCCAGGAGGTCACTTGAACCTGCAAAGATGGAGGTGTCGTGGGAACCCCATTCTATAGCCAGTCTGCCAGAAGTCGTGGAGGCTCAAAGACATCTGCGGTGGGAGTGGGAGGCAGTCTTGCGGACGCAGGCTCCACCGATGGCATCTGACCCATCTCCATGTAGAGGTGGGAAGGGAACTGGTCTAGAGGACACCCAGCAGCTCTGCTGCACAGCTGAGTGCTGGCTGGTGGGAGGAACCCCACAGGGAGGGCCCTTCAGGGTGAGTGCTGCTACTGGTACTCTGGGTATTTCTAGCATAACTGACGATTGTTTTAAGCACTCTCAATAAAGCCTCCATCAGCTTTGCAGAACGCTGTGGAACGTGGCAGGGAGTCAGAGGATACAAAGTAGCAGATATGCAGGATGAACAGGTCTTGAGAGCTAATGTGCAACCCAGGACTGTAGGCAATAAAACCGGAATGTATGGGAATGCATGCTAAGTAGATTTCAGCTCTTCCTGAGACAGAAACCAAAAAGTATGAGATGATGAATGTCACTTTGCTTTGCTACAGTAACCTTTTAACCATCTATATGTAGCCATAGCCTTGTGTTAGAGACCTTCAATGTAAACAATGTAATTTATCAGTTAAGAAAGAATTGTGGGCCAGCGGGCCAGCAGGTGGCATGGTGGTTAAAGGCGTAGGAGTCCAACATGGCTGACTGTGGTTTGAGTCCCAGACCTGGCAGCTTGCTTTCTCACTCTCTCTCTCTCTCTCTCTTGCTCTGTCCCTCTCTGATCAAATAAAAATAAATAAATAAAGTTAAATAAAATAATTCTTTAAAAAAAGAAAAAGAAAAGAAAGAATTGCAACAAGTGCTCCCTGGCCTAGTGGTTAAGTGAGGCTGGGTTCCACATGGCTGACTGCTATTTGAGTCCTGGCCCCAGTGACTTGAAATACACACGGGGTATACGTGTATACGTGCCCCAAATCCAAAAGGATGGAGAGATGGAGAAGGGATTGCAACATGATCACACCCCGCTAGGGAGTGCTCTCTCCTCTCCCTCTCTTCCTCTCTCTGGTGAGCACATGTGCCCTCTGGCAATTAAAATAAAATGAATTGCAACCATATGTAATAATTTAACAAAATGAATAATGTTAATGTGTGGCCACACCCCATTAGAGCTACCTTCTCCCACTTCTCCCCTTTCTCTGTCTTTGGCAAGCGTCTCATAAATGAAAGAAAGAAAGAAAAATAGACAATAATAAACCTACGTTTTGAAGGCTTGAAAAAAATGATCTGCTTAAATCTCTTTATGTGTTACTTTGCTTGGGAGGAGTGGAAATAAGATTTTCTCTGCATTTTAATACTTCTCATTTTCATAGTATAGAGTGTGTCCTCCTGCTTCTAACTTGCGTCGTAGCTTTAGGAATGCCTAGGCCACTGAGTTTCCCTTGGAAACATAATCCAGCCTGCTTCTGTTCCGCACAAAGGGCTCCTTGGACATCACCCAGAGTGTCGACGATGACCCGCTCCTGGACACGCGGCTCCTCCCACATCACTCCCTGCAAGCTCACTTCAGACCCAGGTTCCATCCTCTGCCTACAGTCATCATCGCAAACCTCCTCCTGTTCATACATGTGAGTTGCTGAGACAAAGGGGTCCATCCCAAGGTGATGTTCTTAAAAAATATATAAGCTCTTCAGAGGCCAGCTGGGCGATATCTATCAGCATCTGAAGTCTATCTACTTTGCTTTCATCTCTAATTTAAAGAGTTTATTGTAGATAACCTCATACATGAAAAGATATTGTTGAAACTAGCAATGTTGTCTGTCTCATGTCATGAGAGCCTGGGGACTGCATGGTGGTGCAGTGGCAAAACACTGTACCCTGCAAGGTAATCTCACATGTGAAAGTTACTGGTTCAAGTCCAGAGGCCTCCCCAAGTACCCACATTTTGTATCAATCATTTAAATGTTTGTCAATATAACTGCAAAGTTCTTCTCTTAAAACTGAAATGAGAAATAAAAATTTCTGGGCATGATTTTTACTAGTTAACCCTTGAGGTGCTAAGTTAACTGTTTTTAACTTTTTTAAAAAGCTTATTTATTTCATGAGGAGAGAAACAAAGACAGAGTATCATCAGAATGCTGATGCCACAATCTGCCCCAGCCAGCCCAGGTCATGGGCACACATGTGCCAGCATATTCAGGGAGGTCAGCAGGTGCAAACCAGTAACCCCTCCACATAGGTCAGCCTCCCAGAGCTTTGTCTTTTACTGTAGTGACACTGTCTGGCCCCATTTTACTCTTTAGGAAAGTGGACAGAAAATAGCTTTTAATATTTAGTGGTCATCTCTTTTAGATTAGATTTAGAGTGATTTTAATTTTTATTTGCGATTTTGTCCGTTTTCTAAATTTCTTGCAAATTTTTATAATCCATTTTTAAAAATGTGCAAAAAAAATGTTTTAAAACTCACTTATAAAAATAAGGTGGGGGCAGTTAGGGTAGCTGGTCCCACATGGCAGGCCTGGCAGCCTGAGAAGCACACCGGGCATATGTGCATGTGCGTATGCCTGAGAGCCTGAGAGGGAGAGACGGAGGGGAGAGGCTGTGGTATGGCCATTCCATGGCGACCACTTGCTCACTTTCCCACGCTCGCTGTCTCCTGCAAGTGCATGCAGCTCTGAGAAACTAAACAAACAAACACAAATAATTACAGGAGGACGCCCTGCCTCAGCGACACAAGCAGTATAGCATGCTGATCTTCGGCGCTGGAAGCACACGACCAACTGTGGGTTCTGATCCTGAGTCAACCTGAAACACATCAGGGGTGTTTACCCAAGATCCTGGCTACCTGAAGGGCTGGGAGGCAGGACTCGAGGCATGCCAGACCCAGCTGAGAGTGCCTTTCTCTCTCGCTCGTATGAACAGAGTAAGAATAAATTTAAAAAAAAAAAAAAAAAAAAGGATGGTAAGATATTGAGTCATCATGAAAGTCATGACACATTTTTGCATAGAAAAATATGTCATCACTTTCCCGACAACCTAATAGTTGTCTCCTAATTCCAAATATTAAGTGTTAACCCTTCTGCTTTCCTGTCCACCAGGTTGTGTTTGTTATTTTGGCATTTTTAACAGGTGTGCTTTGTTCTTACCCTAATCCGAATGAGGACAAATGCCCAGGGAACTATACCAACCCACTGAAGGTTCAGACGGTTATAATCCTAGGGAAGGTCGTTTTGTGGATTCTGCATTTACTCCTTGAGCGCTTCATCCAGTACCAGCACAGCAAGGCGAGAAAGCGAGGCTACAGCACGGTCTACCGCTCCACGAGGCATCTCAAGGGCCTTGCACTCATGGTACACTCCTCAGGTAAGCCTGGCTGTCTCTCCACTCCTCCACTCCTCGGGGGCTTGCGGGCACGAGACAGCAGAAAGAAAATAGGAAATGTGACTGTATAATCAAATATGAATTGATCACATTCATCTCATCAAATGCCTCATCTTTGTGAGTCTCGTGTCTTGTGGTCACTAAAATGTGGCTCACCCAAATGTGCTGAGGCTTTCTTTCTTTCTTTTTTTTTTTTTTTGAGAGAGGTTTTTCACTATAGGGTGAGTGCGCTTGCCAGACAGACAGAGACAGAGAGACAGAAAGCGAGAAATCACCCCCCAGAGGGGATGGCCATGCTGCAATCCCTTCTCCTCCATTCTACTCTCGGGATCTTGGGCACGCACGCACACGCGCCCCGCGTGGGTTTTAAGCCACTGGGTCCGGGACACAAACCGCAGTCGACTACATGGGAGTCCAGCGACATAGCCATTACGCTAACTGCCGGTTCCCAAGGCTTTCTTAACATTCTACACAGCCCCATGCTTATTTAAACCTGTACTCATTAGGAACGTGGTAGCCCTATACCTGAGTATGAAATGCGGAATTTTCTCTTTTGCTCTGCACAAGTTTATTCATCTCTAGCAGGTGGAAATACTGTTGCTATTTGATATTTCTGAGAGCTTATTTTTTTAAATTTATCAGAGAAAGCATGCTTTTGCCAAAGAGAAACAGAGGGTATTCACACCATAACCCCTCCTCCTCCATTTCTCCACTCTGTCAGTATTTGGGGCACACATGCACACGTGCTCAGTGTGTTTTTCAAGCCATCAGGGTCAGGATCCTAACCATGTGGTTGGCCTTGTGGGATCTGAACCTCTTCACGAGTAGGCCATGAGGCCAGAGCCATTTTCACTTTTTTTTTTTTTTTTTTTGAGAGATTTTCACTGTAGGGCGCGTGCGCTCACCAGACAGACAGAGAGAGACATAGAGACAGAAAGTGAGAAATCACCCCCCAGGCGGGATGGTCACGCCGCAATCCCTTCTCCTCCATTCTCTTCTCGGGATCTTGGGCACGCACGCACACGCGCCCGGTGTGAGTTTTAAGCCACCGGGTCCGGGACACGAACCGCGGTCGACTACGTGGGAATCCAGCGACATAGCCATTACGCTAACTGCTGGTTCCCCGTTTTCACTTTTTAATGAAACAGAGGGCTCTCCTAGCAGTAGGCGAAATTGATGGTAAGTTCCCAGGAAAAAGGGACTGTTATATGAGAAAATGTATTATCTATAGCAGAAAACTCAGTAACACGCAGGCCCTGGTCAGAAGCTCCATTGGGCGGGAAGAGGCCTAGCAGGTCAAGGCCAGCCTGTGCTTCTACTCATGCTCGACTCATGGCCCTGTCCCTTCAGCAACAACAAATCCCACGTAGGACTTAGATTGTATGTGTGTCTGTTATTCTTTACTGTTGCAGACATCTTAAAGGCTTAAAAGAATTAATTGAACTTTTTAAAGTAAATTGGGCACTAAGTTTCATGGAAAATACATATCATGGATAAACTATGCATAGATTTCAAAATATTTTTGCACCAAAAATAAACTTGTACTTTAATTCCATTCTTTTTACAAAATTTTTAAAGTGCCTAAGTATTAAATAAATTGGTATCAAAGTGTCCACTCTTCTAAAGAAAAAGACCCATCTTTTCAATTTGAGACCAGGATAAATCTTTAAAAGTTTTGACTCCAGGATAATTTTTTCCTTAGAAAAACAGCTCAGCAGATTTAACTTTTTGCTCCATATTATTAGGGCAGTTTCTTGCAGGGCAGGCTGAAGGTCATCCCCTCAGTGGAGTTCCCAGTGGAAGCTGCAGGACCACCTGCAGCACCCAGAGAAGCCAGCTACCATGCTGGGGGACCCTGGCTCCCTGCTTCAGGAAGGATGCGCTTGGTTCATGTCTTACTACTGATGTGCAGGACACTTTTTAGCCAGAAGGTGTCACTATAGCACAAAAATAGAAGCAGAAACCTAGCTCACTGCTAAAAGATCTCATATAACCAAGGGTAATCAGTTTCTTAAGTGATGGTCTGGAAATACTTCCGAAGCCCATAAATAGATCTTTACCTTTCCGAGATTTGACTTTCAAATTCTTGTTAATGTCACCCTTCATTACGATCTGTTCCAAACTGGTCTTTTAGTCACAGATGACATCACTTTATGTTGCTCTCACACGGATCCGGAAAATCAAAGGGGTTGGGGAAGGTATATAACTTGTTTCTATTTTATTTAAGTATTTTTTTTCTTACTTGGAGACAAAGATCAGATATGGGGATCAGAAAATATATTTATTTATTTACTTATTTATTTTTATTATTTTTTAAGAGTTTTTTGCTATAGGGCACATGTGCTCGCCAGACAGAGAGAGACAGAGAGACAGAAAGTGAGAAATCACCCCCAAGAGGGGATGGTCACGCCACAATCCCTTCTCCACTCTCCTCTTGGGATCTTGGACACACACGCACACGCACCTGGCATGAGTTTAAGCCACTGGGTCTGGACTCGAACCGCAGTCTGACTACATGGGAGGCCAGCGACATAGTCATTACGCTAACTGCTGGTCTCAACAATTTATTTTATCTCACGTGACAGAACCGCTAGATATTAGTTAACTTCACCATGATCTCTGTTATTTTCTAGGGGAGAAAACAATAAATGTATTTATTATTATTTGGTGTGTGCCTGTGGAGATGGGAGAAGGAAAGGGCTTTGCTTTTCTTCCAAGTTAGTAAAAAAAAAATTCATCTGATTTATCGTTTCTCCTCCTTAGATCCAAATACACTGTCTGTTTTTTACATTGACAAATGAAAGTCCATGTATTACAGTACACAGCATGTTTTGACATATGTATACATCACAGAATGGCTACATCCAGGTAATTACCATATGTTAACCCACGTATTCTCATTTATTTATGACAACCTAAAAATCTGATCTTAGCCATTTTCAAATATACGTATATTGTTACTAAGTACTGTCACCATGTTGTAGCTCCAAATACATTTTAAAATTATTTATTTATTATTATTTTTTTAAAGTTTGCAAGAGGGTGTGCTTACCAGAGAGAGAGAGAGAGAGAAAGTGAGACAGCAAGCCACCAGGTCTGGGACTTGAACTATGGTCCACCACATGGGTCAGCTACCACCTTAACAACTATACCACCTGCTGGCCCCCAACTCCAGTACTTCTTTTTTTAATTTTTAAAATTTTATTTATTTATTTATTCATTTACTTCTTTTTAATTTGACCAGAGAGAGAAAGTGAGAAAGCAAGCTGCCAGTTCTGGGACTTGAACCGCAGTTGGCCACATGGGAGTTCAGCAACCTAATCACTATACCACCTGCTGGCCCAAATACATTTAAATTCTATTTAAAAAGGAGCCTATAAAAAGCTTATAGAAAATACATATTATGCAAAAACCATGTGTGGATTTCAAGATTTTTTGTACCAAACTAAACTAGTACTTGAATTCCATTTGCTATAAGTTTTTCAAGTCCCCTTATATTAGTTACACAGCAAGTTCAGTATTGTGTGTGTGTGTGTGTGTGTGTGTGTGTGTGTGTGTGTTTCCCTTTGAAATGAAAACCTGGTCTTTCATGCAAAACAGTAACTTTATCAGAGATCTCTGGGACCTGAAAAAGTGAACTCAGGGATTGAGGCCTCTTTTTTTTTTTGCTATATGGTGCGTGTGCTCACCAGAAAGATAGAGACAGAAAGCGAGAAATCATCCCCCGGGGGGATGGTCATGCCACAATCCCTTCTCCTCCATTCTCCTTTTGGGATCTTGGGCATGCACGCACATGGACCGGTGGCTCACCGGGTCTGGGACTCGAACCATAGTCGACTACATGGGAATCCAGCGACATAGCCATTACACCATCTGCTGGTCCCTGAGAACAGCTTGAGGGTGCTGCTCCAACCTAAAGTGTGGAAGGATTACTCAATTATCTGCACAGGTCTCTGGGAATTTTAGGACCCAAGGCCATCGAGACTGTGTCCTACACACCATTAGCTCTCTTTGGCTCCACATTTCCTTACGGGGCCTGGGACATGTCTACAGGGTCCACTGCCTTGTAGACATGCCCTCTGGGGCCCTCCCTGATGTCTGTCCCTGGTGTCTAGGGCACAGTGAGGCAGAGGAGTGAGGTTCCTCACACGCTCTCTCTCAAGGGAATAAAAACAGAGCCAAGGTCAGATCAAGACCTAGGTGCTCTGCTGCCTTTGGACAAGTTACCTAACGTCTCTGCTCCTAAACATCCCATCCCCACTCAAATGGGGTGACAACTGTGTCCTCACATGCTCTCATAAGGGACTCCTTAAAGTCGTCCTCTCATCTTCAATTCCAGCTTTCCCTCCCTTCCCTGAGGTCCACGGAGGTCAGACCTTGGTTTCTCCTGGGGACCAGCCCCCTCCTGAGCCTATAGAGGGGCCTACCCTGAATCATTTCATAGCATAAGCCCAGGTAAGATGGACAGGCCTTGTTGAGAGTAACAAAAGACACTTTTAGCCCTTAGGAAATGGCAAAAGTTGTAGGAGCTCTGTACAAAAGTCAGCTTATTGTAATCAGATGCTCCTGTTCCTCCTATCACTCAGAAACTGACAAGGGTTTTGGGAGCTGTGGCCAGGAACCCAAGGAAGACCGAATGCACGCTCCAGTGACAGGCTGTTCCCCTTTCTCTTGCACAGGTAACACGGCGCTCCTCCTTGTCCTGTGCATACAGCATTCCTTCCCCGAGCCTGCCAGACTGTACCTTGACCTCCTTCTGGCCATCCTGGCCCTGGAACTGCTCTGCTCCCTGACGTGTCTGCTCATTTACACAGGTGAGGATACAGCACTGTTGCTAGAATACTCTTGGCTTCCTCTCCTCCCAGCTGGGAAAAGCCATGACTGAGCTATTAGAAGCTCTTGATGTAGCTAAGGACCTGTATCATTCTCCCCGTAGACCACACGCAGGCTTCTCTAATTTCTTAATGTATTTATTTTTTGAGAAATTTTTGCTATATGATGTGTGGATTCATTGGAAAGGCAGAGACAGACAGACAGACAGAAAGGGAGAAATCACCCCCCAGGTGGGATAGCCACACCGCAATCCCTTTTCCTCCATTCTCCTCTTGGGATTTTGGACACACACACACATGCCCAGCATGAGTTTCAAGTCACTGGGTCTGGGACTCAAACTGCAGTGGACTACACGGGGGGAGTCTAGTGACATAACCATTAGGCCATCTACTGGTCCCAGGCTTCTCTAATTTCAAACCACCACCAGTGGGAGTTTTCTAAGTCTGTGTTATCAACTAATGTGAAGCCTTTTCACTAAAAATTCAAAAAGACTTCCACAAACTTTTGTTTCCTAAAGGCATCTGAGGGCCAGCCCCATAACCTGGAGCCTAGTGGTTAAGGGAGTTGAATCCCACATGGCTGACGGCACAACTTGAATCCTAGACGCTTGGAAAACAGACCAGACATGTGTCAGTGTGTACCCCAAATCCCTATTGGATGGCGGGATGGAGGAGGGACTGCGGCATGACCATGTCCCATTGTGGTATGCACAGTGGCTCCCTGCCCACCTTTCCGGCCTCACGCCTTGTCCGTACCCCTCTACCCACAGATACATGTTCCTTTGAAGAGCAGATTAGACTGAGTTTCCGGCTGCACTTGCTGTAACAAATGGATACTTGCAAAGAGTAGTCCCAGCGAGATGGGTCACAGCAGTTCAGAGGCCCTTATATTTAACACCCCTAGAAGACGTGTTATCTCAATTTAAGTGTCCCAGAGCCCACCAGATCTCAGCTTCTAGTTGTCCCTTGGGAAGAAAAGGGTCCCAGAACCCGCCAGCTCATATGCATACCAACAAGGTGGCTATCAGCTCATTTGCATACCAACAAAGTGACTATCTGCTTATTTCACTCAGTTACAGCAAGTGTAACACAACAAAATTCATACACCACAAATGAAATGGTATTGTCAAAGCATTCAGGATGCAGAACGCACTGGCCAGGCGTAATTACCGATTACACTTTTTAGATTCAAGGAGAATGGCTGACGGCACAACTTGAATCCTAGACGCTTGGAAAACAGACCAGACATGTGTCAGTGTGTACCCCAAATCCCTATTGGATGGCGGGATGGAGGAGGGACTGCGGCATGACCATGTCCCATTGTGGTATGCACAGTGGCTCCCTGCCCACCTTTCCGGCCTCACGCCTTGTCCGTACCCCTCTACCCACAGATACATGTTCCTTTGAAGAGCAGATTAGACTGAGTTTCCGGCTGCACTTGCTGTAACAAATGGATACTTGCAAAGAGTAGTCCCAGCGAGATGGGTCACAGCAGTTCAGAGGCCCTTATATTTAACACCCCTAGAAGACGTGTTATCTCAATTTAAGTGTCCCAGAGCCCACCAGATCTCAGCTTCTAGTTGTCCCTTGGGAAGAAAAGGGTCCCAGAACCCGCCAGCTCATATGCATACCAACAAGGTGGCTATCAGCTCATTTGCATACCAACAAAGTGACTATCTGCTTATTTCACTCAGTTACAGCAAGTGTAACACAACAAAATTCATACACCACAAATGAAATGGTATTGTCAAAGCATTCAGGATGCAGAACGCACTGGCCAGGCGTAATTACCGATTACACTTTTTAGATTCAAGGAGAACTATGAAACTGTCAGGTGCACATCCTGTCTGTGCTCAAGCGTGGCCGCTTCCTCTCTGAACCTGCTGAGTTAGGGGCTATATGCTGCAGCTCCTGGCACAAGCTTCAATGGTCGGGCTTTGAAGCTTCCTGGATTAGAAGTCTGGCTCCTAAAGGGCCTCGCTTTACTCATTCATGTAAAAAGGAGCTACAAGAGCACCGGCTTCATGACCTGAACAAGCTCATCCACACGAAGCAGTTAAACGCTGCCGACGGCGTCCACAGTACCATGTCGGCCCTCGCGATAACCTCGGTATGCCCAGTGCTTCGTGCCAGCTTGGCAGACTTCGAAACGCTTGAGCACACTAATAAACAAACCTGTTGATTTACTCTGCCAAACAGTTCCATGCATATTAGTATATTTGAAAAGAACAGACAATAAATTGTAATTTGAATAAGTGAGAAAAGACGTCTTTTCAGAATTAGATAATTTTACTAATAATGACTTCATTATTTCAGTGAGAATTCAAAAATTTAATAGAGCCAAACCACAGCCTGATGTCCTTGAAGAAGAAAAGGTCTATGCTTACCCCAGCAATATTACCTCAGAGACTGGATTCAGGTAAGGTTTAGGTGGGGAATAAAAGATGAGATAAGGGGAATGAGAAGATTTCCCCCAGAAATCACTGCAGTGCCTGGAGCTTACGAGTGCGCTTGTACCTTAGTGATTGTCTCATTCTCTACTTCCTTCTAGCTACGGTGAAACCACATTTAGTGTGTGTGCCACAGTTACGAAGTCTGCAAATTTCCCTCAGCTGTTTTTTAATTTTTATTGCCAGAGGGCACGGAAGCTTGACAGAGAGAGAAAGCAAGCGCCCCTCGATGGGGCACGGTCACCCACAATCTCTCCTCCTCCATCTCTATCCCATCAGGACTCCGGGCACGCACACCTATGTGCCCTGTGTGTTTTCCCAAGCTACCAGGCCCGAATTTAAACCGTATTTGGCCACGTGGATCTGGCCTTCTATATACTGCCCTTAATCACTGCACTAAGGGGTTGGCCCTGTTATTATATTAACAAGTGAAGTCTGGGCTGGCTCCATGGCTTGGTGGTTAAGGCAGCAGGATCCCACATTGCCTACCACATGAATGGTTCAAATCCCAGACCTGGTGGCTTGAGAAACAGACTAGGTGTATTTTTCAAACCACTGAGGGAGGAGCTAAACCATAGTCAGTCATGGTCCCTTAAAAAAGGGAAGTTTGGGGGGCTGGCAAGTGGCGTAATAGTTAGAGGTGCTAGATCCCCACATGGCTGACTGCAGTACAAGCCCTGGACCTGGAGGCTTACTTTCTTGCTTTCCTTTTCTCTATCTCTGTCTCCCTCTGGTCAAATTAAAAAGTAATAATGACAAATGGAATTAAATAAATATTTTTAAAGGGACATTTAATAGGAAAGTGGGGACTTTTTTTATTTTTTGCTCATAAAAAATATGGAAGGCTTCACGAATGTGCATGTCATTCTTGCATGGGGGCCATGCATGCTAATCTCTGTATCATTCCAATTTTAGTCTATGTGCTGCCGAAGCGAGCAAGGAAGTGAGAATTTTTAATAGAAAAGAAGTATACCTCCATGGCTGAAAGCCATGTAGGTGGGCAGCTGCCAGAGAAGGACGCTGCACTGGGCACGGGGTTTGGTGCTACATTTATTCTAAGAGTTGGTAACGGTTATTTAGCAGGGGAAGGTCCGTCTTTGTATCTGGCTTCTTTATTTGGGATTGGTAGGCTTTTTCCTGCCCCTGCCTATCTCTCTCAGAGGTTAGCAACTCATTTACCTAATCCCATACGCTCAGACAATCCTCGGGTAACTATTAAAGTGGCCAATAAAAACATATTCTTTAAGATACAAATTTTTATCTAGATCATGGTCTTTTTAAAGTCCTATAGTTATAAAAGCCTTCAAAATTTCAAGTTGAAATGTACATTAAAGATTTATTTCAAGAGAGGAAGTCACTGAAATGATTCGTGAAAGAATCTCATTTTGGGGGACCAACAGTTAGCGTAATGGCTATGTCACTGGACTCCCATGTAGTCGACTGCGGTTCGAGTCCCAGACCCGGTGACTTAAACTCATGCCGGGCGCATATGCATGCGTGCCCAAGATCCTGAGAGGAGAACGGAGGAGAAGGGATTGCGGCGTGGCCATCCCCCCTGGGGGGGTGATTTCTCGCTTTCTGTCTCTATGTCTCTCTCTGTCTGTCTGGCGCCCTATAGCAAAAAAAACCTCTCCAAAAAAAAAAAAAAAAGAATCTCATTTTAGAATATTGCCCTGGCTTTGTAACATCTATGAAATTTTAATAATGCAGTCATGTGTCACTTAATGACAGATGTGTTCTGAGCAATAGATCATTAGGCAGCTTCATCACTGTGTGAACATCTTAGAGTGTGCCTACGCAGACCTACACGGGACAGCCTACCACACACCTAGGCTGTATGGCATGATCTTAAGGGTCCACCGTTGGAGTGTGACCTGCCATTGACCAAGATGCTGTTATGCAGCATGTGACTTTACAATCTGCTGTACTGAAAAGTGGTCAGGACGTGTCTGCAAAGAGACGAGTGAGTATTGGTGAATATGTATAACCCACTTCCATCTTGGATATTTACAGGACTATTTCAAGCCTTGAAGAAATTGTTGAGAAGCAAGGAGACATAATATTATACCTGAAGCGGCACAATGCGCTGTTGAGTAAGCGATTGTTGGCACTCACGTCCTCAGACCTAGGCCCTCAGCCGAACAGAATGTGAAAGGCTTGTGGTCGGAAAGCAACTGCAGAGGAATCCTAAGTAAACTAAGACCGTTGACCTGAACAGCTGCTACGGGGAATGCAGCTTTTGCTGAACTAACATTTTACAGTTTCTGGTGGAAATCTGAATTTGGTTCTTACCTGTGTAGCTGTTTAATGTATAGGGCTTGTGAGTCTTAAAAGTATTCACCTGGAGGGACCAGCAGTTAGCGTAATGGCTATGTCGCTGGACTCCCACGTAGTCGACCATGGTTCGAGTCCCGGACCCGGTGATTTAAACTCATGCCGGGCGCGTGTGCGTGCATGCCCGAGATCCCGAGAGGAGAATGGAGGAGAAGGGATTGTGGCATGGCCATCCCCCCTGGGGGGTGATTTCTCGCTTTCTATCTCTCTGTCTCTCTCTGTCTGTCTGGCGAGTGTACACGCCCTATAGCGAAAACCTCTCCCCAAAAAAAAAAAAATAGTATTCACCTGGATAACTTAAGAGAAGCCTGTTTTGTATACTTTAAAATTATTTAACTGCTTGGTTTATCTTGGGATCAAAGACATAGTTCAAAATCTCTATGGTTAACACTTTTAATACATGACGTTAGAACCTGTAATGACTTGGGCAATTTATACAGAAAGTCTGACGTGACGATACAAACAGGGTTTTAGTCAAGTAAGTTCTTCCTATTTTTAAGCTGACGAGAGAAGCCATTATTTCTTGTGGCTGGTACTTTTCCCTGTAGAGACCTACTTACATAGTAGGTATTTTATATAATGATGTGTATTGGATGACAGCTTGGGCCAGGTAGCTTTCACAGCGAATCCCCTTACTGTTAGGACCAAGGTCTTACGGTGATTCACGATGTGAACTACTGTTTTCGGTTCTTTAGAGGTAAGATGACGATGACCTGGACTACTCCTAGACTGACCAGTGCTGGCCGCTAACACCGGCAGCACCTTCTGTTAGCAGCGGCTGAACAATCGAGAGGAGGATTTAGAAATCTCACCTTATTTTTGCCTTTATTCAAGAAGTTGCCATATATTTCAGTATTGATTACACCTTCATTGAGTCAAGTTCTGTTATAGGAAAGAAATCTGTGGTTTGACATCTGTCTTAAAAGAAAAAAGATTCCTTTTTAAGTTTTGAGTTATACTTCAAACTTATGACAAAAAGAAAATGTATCTATTTATATAAATATTAAAATATCTAATTTTCTAGTTAAAATGAAGTGTTTTTATGAGTAAATGGCATTATTTTCCCATTTTTTCTAATAGGCCCCTTTAATTTAAACCATTAGGACCTTCCCAGGACATGCTGCCCCCAGGAGGACTTTAGGTTAAAGTCTTAATATGAGTGGAGGGGATATGTGTGATTGTGTAAGCTGTTAATATTTTTGGGCGATGAGCTGAATAGTCAAGATTTTATTTAAAAAGCTAGATATGAGGCCACCAGGTGGTGTGTGATTAAGATGCTGGACTCCCACATGGCCAACCATGGTTTGAGTCCTGGGCCCAGTGGTTTGAAACTCACACTAGGTACATTTGTGTGTGTGCCCAAAATTCCAGGAGGAGACTGGAAGAGAAGGGACTGCAGTGTGTCCAGCTCCCCTGGGGGGTGATTTCTCATTTTCCTTCTCTCTGTCTCTCTCTGGCGAGCACACACACACCCTATGGTAAAACAAAACAAAACAAAACAAAAACAAAGAAAAAAGCTAGACATACTATATAGGAATGTACTGATATAACTGCACAGGTTCATTTGGTTATATCCACTGTCACTTGTGGAGGGCGAATACCTCTTTCTTTTAGATACAGCCATTGCTGAGCGCTCTAGAAGTTTTCTACTAAGATAAAGATGATTGGGAGTCACCTGTCAGCAATCCAGTTGAATCCTTAAAATAACAACATCCGCAAATTAAAGCCAGATTGTATTTTTAAAATTCAGATTCTGTTTGAATCCCCTCCTTTTCCTTCCCTGTCCCTCTTTGTATTTTGTATGTCTCAAACTCTGCCTTCTGTGGAATTCTGTTTCTATGTTCCAGAAGAGTCTATAAACTTTGCCTTCAACTGCTTTCCTTTTCAGAAGGAAAAGGGCAATGGTACATAGTTAATTCTTATTTTTGAATTAAATTTGGATCTCTTTCCAGTTCCTGAGAGTCAATGGCTGAGCTCTGCCTTCCAGAGAGAGGTATAATTAGAAAGTTAGGACATTCGGGTTCTGATGTAATGTCCATGTAATCACTGACACTTTTCAGAACTCATTAATGAACACATACACAATAAATAAAACTCAATATTAGAACTGGCAAAACAGAAAAATAAGCCAGATAACTTAAATATGTTAAGTACCCTATTTACTGTGCCGGTGCCTATAGTGCGAGTACTGTGAATACAAAAAGTAAAGACTTTGGTTCTCATCCCACATTCTAAGGAGGGAGAAGAATAGCATTTCTAGGCTAAACACGAAATGGCAGTAACCTCAGGTTCACTCACTGCAGGAGCTCCGCATTGGAAGAACCCCAGAGTAGTAGAGGGTTTTAGGAATTCCAAGCAAATGAATGAGGAAGGGCACCAGGACCCAAAGAGCCCAACCACCATTTGTAGTGCTGGCCAACTGTGAGGCAGGACAGGGGTAGAAAAGTGGATGGAGGAGATCTGTAGGGCTCGATGCTGTGCTGAGGAGTCCGCATTTATCTTGTTGATAATGGGGTCTCAAGTCAGGAAGTGACAACAGAGAATTTAGTTTTAGGAGGATGCGAATGTGGTTCGATATGGAAGAAAGGTGAATGGCAGAAAGACGTAGCCCTGACCCAGGACAGGCATAGCAGCATTTTGTTGTGAATGTGTACGTATATGGGTGTGTGTACAGGTGGCTGGCTACAGATGTATATGTGTGTTCCAAGTGGCAATAGCATCATGACTCATTACAGTTAAAAACTATAATGAAAACCAATTATTTGAAAGTCCACTACCAAAGAATTGTACGAATTTATACAGCTTGTTGTCCCATACCCTTGGCAATTGTGGTGTTACTGTAATTAATCATCCCTATCTGATGGATATGTCATTGTTTCAAATTGCAGTTCTTTAAGTATGAATGAAGTTGAGCATTTTTCTCCATATTCTTTGGATTTTATAAATTTTTTCTGACATGTGTATTCAAGTCCTTCACTCATTACTCTTGGATGTCTTTTTTTGTTAAATTTTAATTTAATTAATTAATTTATTCATTCATTCATTTTAATTTGACCAGAGAGAGAGAGAGAAAGTGAGAAAGCAAGTCACCAGGTGCAGGACTCAAACCTTGGTCAGCTATGTGGGAGTGTCCAGCACCTTAACCGCCACGCCACCTGCTGGTCCCTGGGATGTCCTTTTCTTAACATACAAATTCCTCTATATGTTAAAGATAGTCCTCAGTGTCTATGTATTGGAAACATGTCCTACTTTGTTTTACACTCTTTTGCCTTTTACTCATTAAACACTATAGCCTGGATCCTTCTCCACCAGCACTGGTCAAAATTTACACAGATGAATCCCTAAAGCCACATGGCATGTCCTCTTGTCATGTGAGGGCCACAATGACTTGACCAGATTTTAATGTAGTTAAACTTCTGCCCTAGGCCCTTTTTTGTTGTTGTTGTTGAGAGATTTTTGCTATAGGGTGTGTGCGCTCCCTGGAGACATAGACAGAAAGCAAGAATCACCCACCCAGGGGGGATGGCCACGCCAGTCCCTTCTCCTCCAGTTTCCTCTCGGGATTTTATGCATGCACACACACACATGCCCCATGTTGAGTTTCAAGTTGCTGGGTCTGGGACTCGAACCGTGGTCAACTAGGTGGGAGGCCAGAGACATAACCATTATGCCATCTGCTGGTCTCCTGCCATAGGTCCTTTTTGTTCAAGGGATTCTTCAAGGGTGGATGTATGATCAACCACTAGCCTCGGGCAGCCTGGGCTCATGGGCAGGCATGTGCTCAGCATACTCCTGGTGGCCTCTGGATGCAAACCAAGAACCTTCTTGTGTGGGATTACTTTGTAAAGTGTTATGTTTTTCTGTCATGTCACTCTTTTGGCCCCATAAATTTTTGTTTGTTTGTTTTTACTTTACTTTTTTCTTTAGAATTTTGGTATAGGGCATCTGGAAAGAGGAAAAATGAGAAATCATCCCTCAGCGCAGATGGCCACACTGCAATCCGCTCTCCTCCAGTCTCTCATGGAATTTTGGGCATGCACACACACACACAACTCATGTGTTTTTCAAGCCATGATATATGGGACTCAAACTGCAGAGTGAGGCATGTGAGATCCAGTGCCTTAACCTCCATGCTACCTGCTGGCTCCCCCATGAATTTTTTTTTTTTTTTTGGAGAGATTTTTGCTATAGGGTGTGTGCGTTCGCCAGACAGACAGAGACAGACAAAGAGACAGAAAGCGAGAAATAACTCCCCAGTGGGGATGGCCACGCAGCAATCCCTTCTCCTCCATTGTCCTCTTGGGATCTTGGGCATGTAGTCACACACGCTCGGCGTGAGTTTAAGCCACCAGGACCAGGACTTGAACCACAGTCGACTACATGGGAGTCCAGTGACATAGTCATGACACTAACTGCTGGTCCCCAAATAATTTTTTTTAACTAGTCAGGTGAAACTGGAATAGAAATACAACAAATACATCTGTAACTAGCTGTCATCAGCTAGCTGTAAACACGACAGCACTTGGACCAGTCTTGAGTATGAAGGTTTGTTTAAAGTAGGGAATGATATGCAAGTTAACTTCGGTACATAGACACAGTTCCATCCTCATAACGTTCTTGCAGAATAAGTATTGTCTCCATGTTGCAAATGAGTTTAAGACCACTACCAGAAATGAGCAGAACCTAGATACAAACCCAGATCCTCCTGGCTAAGTCAGTGTAGCATCCAGGGCTTAAACATGTACATGTGGATAGTGCCTTGTTTACAGTCAGAAAGAAAAGTAATAAGTCGCTTTTGGCTGGAACTGCAGCTTCCAGTAATTAACCAAAATGACAAACACAAAGTAAAAGAGGAGAGGCACCCGATAATATCTCTAGGCCTTTTACAGAACATGGAGCTGTTCCTTTGGCAACATTTATGGGAATCTACAAGAAACGTTACATTGTAGACATTAAGGGAATGGGTACTGTTCAGAAAGGAATGCCCACAAATGTAACCATGGCAAAACTGGAAGAGTCTACAATGTTACCCAGCATGCTGTTAGCATTATTATGAACAAACAAGTTAAGGGCAAGATTCTTGCCAAGAGAATTAATGTGCATATTGA